CACCTGGCTAATTTTTTTTTTTTTTTTTTTTTTTTTTTTTGAGATGGAGTCTTGCTCTATTGCCCAGGCTGGAGTGTAGTGGCACAATCTCGGCTCACTGCAACCCCCACCTCCTGGGTTCAAGCGATTCTCCTGCCTCATCCTCCTGAGTAGCTGGGATTGTGGGATTACAGGCATGTACCACCACACCTGGCTAATTTTTGTAGTTTTAGTAGAGGGGCGTTTCACCATGTTAGCCAGGACAGTCTTGATTTCTCATCCTCATGATCTGCCCACCTTGGCCTCCCAAAGTGCTGGGATTACAGGTGTGAGCCACCATGCCCAGTTGATGAGTCTTTTTAAAAAAGATGTCTTTATAATTTTCTGCATTAGTTAAGTCGTTTTCAAAAAAATGTCTTTATAATTTTTTGCTAGTCATTCTATGAAAGTCTTTTACCTTCCCTACTCTTTCAACTGTTACTAAAGGTTCTTGGTAATTGTTTGGGGTATAGATTATAAAAATACTTCTTAATTTCTAGGAATAAGAAATTAGAAGATAACGACTGTGAAATTACTGGTGAGTATGACTAGACTACTGTTCTATAGTAAGATAGTCTCTTTATCTAGGTTCCACGAACCATGAAAATAAAGCAAACAGAGATTGGGCACAGTGGCTCATGCCTGTAATCCCAGCACTTTGGGAGGCCCTGGGCGGGCAGATCACGAGGTCAGGAGATAGAGACTATCCTGGCCAACATGGTGAAACCTGTCTCTACTAAAATACAAAAAATTAGCTGGCCGTGGTGCACGCTTATACTCCCAGCTACTTGGGAGACTGAGGCAGGGGAATCTCTTGAACCTGGGAGGCGGAGATTATAGTAAGCTGAGATCATGCCACTGTACTCCAGCCTGGATGACAAAGTGGCTCTCTGTTTTTCTTTAAATAAAAAAAAAATGGCCGGGCGCGGTGGCTCAAGCCTGTAATCCCAGCACTTTGGGAGGCCGAGGCGGGTGGATCACGAGGTCAAGAGATCGAGATCATCCCGGTCAACATGGTGAAACCCCGTCTCTACTAAAACTACAAAAAATTAGCTGGGCATGGTGGCGCGTGCCTGTAGTCCCAGCTACTCAGGAGGCTGAGGCAGGAGAATTGCTTGAACCCAGGAGGCGGAGGTTGCGGTGAGCCGAGATCGCGCCATTGCACTCCAGCCTGGGTAACAAGAGCGAAACTCTGTCTCCAAAAAAAAAAAAGCAAACAGAGCTTTGTTCTTTACACAATGTCTTCAGTTTAAAATTTCACAGACTCACTATTATGTCTTTTTTTTTTTTTTCTTTTTTTTTTTTTTTGAGACGAAATTTCACTCTTGTTGCCTAGGCCTGAGCACAATGGCTCGATCTCAGCTCACCACAGCCTTCACCTTCCAGGTTCAAGTGATTCTTCTGCTTCAGCCTCCTGAGTAGCTGGGATTACAGGCACCTGCTACCACACTTGGCTAATTTTTTTGTATTTTTATTAGAGATGGGGTTTCACCATGTTGGCCTGGCTGGTCTCAAACTCCTGACCTCAGGTAGTCCACCTGCCTCAGCCTCGCAGACTGCTGGGATTACAGGCATGAGCCACCAAACCTGGACGACTCCCTATTCTTTCTTTCAAACCTCTGCTTCTCCTGTTTTTTCTGTCTTGGATTTGCGCTCATTCAGTTATTCACTTAAGTCAGGAATCAAGAAATCATTTTCTACTCTTTATACCTCATATCCATTTGGCCTACTTTCTATTTTGTCTCCTAAATGTCTTGAAAATCTATTACCTGTTCTCTATTCCTTCTGCTACTGCTTTAATTCAAGTCTTCATTATTTTTTCTTGGGCTATTGTATTTCATGTATTATCCTTCCCAATCTATTCTCCATATTTCTAAATTTGATTATATTACCTTCCAGCTTAAAATGGTTTGATGACTCTTTTTGCCTACAGAATAAAGCCCATACTCCTTAGCAGTGAGTTAGAATGTACTTTATCGTTTGGCCTGTCTTTTCCCAACTTGTCTCCTGCCCTTTATAGGTATCCTATGCTCTAGCCAATGTTAAATTGTTTGCAGTTCACCATATAAACTCTCTTTCTGTCTATATGCATTTTATTTTTATTTTATTTCATTTTATTTTTTTGAGACAGAGTCTCACTCTGTCACCCAGGCTAGAATACAGTGTGCAGTCTTGGCTCACTGCAACCGCTGCCTCTTGGGTTCAAGTGATTCTCTTGCCTCAGCCTCCCAAGAAGCTGTGATTACAGGTGCATGCCACCACACCCAGCTACTTTTCTATTTTTAGTAGAGATGGGGTTTCACCATGTTGGCCAGGCTGGTCTCGAACTCCAGACCTCAGATGATCTACCTTCCTTGACCTTCCAAAGTGCTGGGATTACAGGCATGAGGCACCACACCTGGTCCCTATATGCATTTATAAATGCTGTTTTCTCTATCTAAAGTGATCTTTCTACTCCCGTTTGCCTGTCAGGCTTTTCATATTTCACTTCACTTAGTTTAACTTCAATGCTATTCAAAGTAGCCAGTCCACAAACTAACCGCTGAGTCCATGACAGAAAAGGAACTTGCACCATAATGTGCATTAACTGTGGCACTAAGCCACTGTTTTGTTTAGCTTATACTTGTTTTCTAGCAATTATTATTTTATGATATATGTTTGCCTCAAGTTCCTTATCTCATTATGTATTGGTAATAAGCAGTTAGTTCACAGTCTGGCACCATACTTCAAGTAGCACTGGCTTAAATGACAGAACTAAGGAGTTAGTCACATGTTCTGTGCTCCCATAACACCTCTTTATTTCTCAGTATATTTTAGAATTTATCACATTATATTTTGAGTATTTCTGGCTCTCTTACTAAAGAAACTAAAACTTTTTTGGGGGGGTAGGGGAGTACTGCTCCTTGAGGAGCAGGGCTACCCCATAGGCAGTGTGTTTAGAATAGCTGAACCACCATCTCTGGGAGTCCAGAAATTTCATCTTGTTTTTCTTTGTACCTTAGTAGACAATTGAGGGTTGTTTTTTTTTTTTTTTTTTTTTTTTTTTAACCCCATGTAATAGGTTCTGAATCAATATTTGTTGAATAAATGAGTGGAAGCCTGACATATAGATAAGGCTTTTATTTTTTTGAGATGGAGTCTCACTCTGTCGCCAGGCTGGAGTACAGTGGCACGATCTTGGCTCACTGCAGCCTCGGACTCCCAGGTTCAAGCATTTCTCCTGCCTCAGCCTCCCTGAGTAGCTGGGACTGCAGGCGCTGCCACCACGCCCAGCTGATTTTTTTGTTTTTAGTAGAGATGAGGGGCCGGGCGCGGTGGCTCAAGCCTGTAATCCCAGCACTTTGGGAGGCCGAGGCGGGTGGATCACGAGGTCAAGAGATCAAGACCATCCTGGTCAACATGGTGAAACCCCGTCTCTACTTAAACTACAAAAAATTAGCTGGGCATGGTGGTGCGTGCCTGTAGTCCCAGCTACTCAGGAGGCTGAGGCAGGAGAATTGCCTGAACCCGGGAGGCGGAGGTTGTGGTGAGCCAAGATCGCGCCATTGCACTCCAGCCTGGGCAACAAGAGCAAAACTCCGTCTCAAAAAAAAAAAAAAAAAAAAAGTAGAGATGAGGATTTATCATGTTGGCCAGGATGGTCTTGCTCTCTTTACCTCATGATCTGCCCGCCTCAGCCCCCAAAGTGCTGGGATTACAGGTGTGAGTTGCTGTGCCTGGCCTAAAAAAGGCTTTTAGTAAAAAAAAGCTTATAATTATTTCATTATATGTACTCAAGATTGCCATAAATTATTTAATATGTTCTAAAGATTTACCTTTCAACGTTAAACTTAAGTATTTTAAAATGTATTTCCTGTTTCAATATATCCTTTTCAATCCCTTCTTTATCTATAAAGTCTAATTTGTAGTTCTAAAGTAAATCTTGAGTCTAATCCTTTACTCCCTTTTTAGTTTCTCTGTTGCCCTAACATGAACTCATTTGTTAATCTGAACTATTATAGTAACTTTCCAATTGGTTTATTTTCTCTTGAATCTACTTTCTTCTCTTTATTACTTTTTGCTATTTTTCTAAAATGCATTATATTTTATAAGGGGATTAATTTTGTAAAGCGCATGTGTCTTATCATGGGAACATCTAGACTCCTTAACACAGAATAAAAGACCCTTTAGAATCCTCCCCTAACCTTTCAGTCTCATCACTTGGTGTTCTTCTCCATGGGACTTCTACTATCCAGGAAATAAAAATAGAGAAATAAAAAATAATAATAAGTAGTAGTCCAAACTTTCCACCTTTAAAGTCACTGCCACATTATAAAAAGATTTCAACCACACAGAGGATATATAATAATTACTGATCTCTCTGTCACTAACATAGGATAATTAAAAGTCATGAAATTTAAAATGTTCCCAACAGAAAAGATAAATGTTTGGGGTGGTGAATATTCCAATTACCCTGATTTGATCATTACACATTGTATACAGGTATCAGAGTATCACATGTAACACTAAAATATGTACAACTATTATATATCAATTTTTAAAAATTAAATTAATACATACATTCTTAAGGGCTTAGTTACTGGTAAATTCTTTTAAATACTTGTAACTGATGAAGAACCTAAGAAAGGTAAAATGAGGCTCAGTAATATATTTTCTGACTACAGTTTTTTCTTTTTTCTAAATAGGGATGAACACATTGCTTTCTGCTCCCATTCATACCCAGATGCAACAGAAGGAGGTATAAGTTCATGCAAATGCCTTCGTATTTTAATGTTTTCTGATTGTTAAAACAGAAAACATAATTCAATGATAATGGCATAATTTAAGGATGCCTTAATAAAATGAATCAGCCTAAACTGGAAAGGCTTCCTACCTTTCCAGTTAACTTAAGGATAGTTAAATCACTGCCAGTTTAAATAATGGGAGATACAGTATACATCTCAAAGTTTAAAGAGCATATGAGTCTTTATTTCTGTTTCCTGAGTGATACCAGTACACAAGTCCTTAGGCAGTGTTTTCAGTAGCAAGGAGTTAATCTGTGTCCTTGCCAAAAAAAAAACAACTGTTGTAGCATAGAATGTAATATGCATGTGTGTGTGTGTGTGTGTGTGTGTGTGTGTATATATATATATTTAAGCTATCTCCTACAGGAAGGATCTTTTTTTTTTTTTTTTTTTTTGAGACAGAGTCTTACACTGTTGCCCAGGCTGGAGTGCAGTGGCACAATCTTGGCTCACTGCAGCCTCAACCTTCTGAGCTTAAGCAGTCCTCCCACCTCTGCCTCCTGAGTAGCCGGGACTACAGGCATATGCCACCATGCCTAGCTAATTTTTGTTCATTTTTTATAGAGACAAGGTCTCACTATGTTGCCCAGGCTGGTCTTGAACTCCTGGGCCCAAGGGGTCCTTTTGCCTAAGCTTCCCAAAGTGCAGGGATTACAAGTGTGAGCCACCATACCCAGTCTAGAATGTAATATAGATTAGCCACCATGCACTTAATGCCTTTCCTAGTCTTTTAAAATTTAGGATAAGAATGACCTTCTATTCAATAAAGTAATTAGAATTTTCATTATGTTTACATTTGGTGCTGTATTTTTCATTTTTTAGTCATTCTAGTGGGTATGTAATTAACCTTAATTTTAAATTTGTCCCCAAACACTAAAAAGTAAATTACTCACAGATGCACAGATTTTAGAATTTTTCTTTTGTTTTCCTAAGAGACTGGGTCTTACTCTTTTGCCAAGGTTGGAGTGCAGTGGTGTGATCCTAGCTCACTACAGCTCAAACTCCTAGACTCAAGCAGTCCTCCCACCTCAGCCTTTCTAATAGCTGGGACTACAGGCATACACCACTGTGGCTAATATTTAAATTTTTTTTGTAGAGACTGGGAGACAGGATCTTACTTTTTTATTCCTGGCTTCAGGCAATCCTGCCTTGGCCTCCCAAAGTGCTTGGATTATAGGCTTGAGCCACTGTGCCCAGCCTAGAATAATTTTAAATGGCAAATTTTAGGCAACATATTACATTATTGATTGAAACAAACCAATGTGTTATGAAACCATCACTGAGGATTTTTTATCTAATGTATGTTACAAAATACCTTTTTAAAAGTTTGCGTTTGTTCTGATCTCTTACATTTTGTTTTCATTATAGTTTTCAGTTATAGAACATAACCATGAAAGGAAACATGCAGATGACCAGACAGTCATCTTTTCAGATGAAAACCAGATGGATCTGACATCAAGTCACACTGTAATGATTACCAAAGGCCTTTTAGATAATCCCAAAAGTGAAAAGCTCACGAAGATAGATACCACATCATTTCTAGCTAATTTAAAGCTTCACACTGAGGACTCAAGAATGAAAAAAGAATTAAATTTTTCCATGGATCGAAACACTTCTTCAGAAAAGAAAATAAATTTCAATGACTTCATAAAAAGATTGAAAACAGGAAAATATAATGCTTTTCCTAATGGGCCTGATAAAGAAAATTTTGAGATACCTGTTTATTCTGATGAATCACATAGCGCCTCTTCTACACGTCAAATGCGTGTATCTCTTAATGAAGATGAGAATAACAGTAATATTACTAGGATCTTTAGAGAAAAAGATGATGGGATGAATTTCACTCAGTGTCATACAGCGAATATTCAGACATTGATTCCCACATCCAGGGAGACCAACTCACAGGAATCTAAAGGTAATGATTATACAATCTATGGCAGTGATGTTATGGACTTGACATTGAACCACACTATACAGATTTTACCCGCAACAGATAATTTTTCTAAAATAGAAAATCAAACTCAGAATGCCATAATGGATGTAACAACAGGTTACGGGACTAAAGCTTCAGGAAAGAAAACAATTTTTAAGAGTAAACAAAATGCTGCTTTTCAAGACCCTTCCATAAACCCTGCAGACAAAATACATATTACCAAAGGTCATACTATGGGAGCGGAAACTCATATAGTCTCACATACTTGTAATCAAGATGCCAGAATATTAGCCATGACCCCAGAATCTATGTGTTCTAATTCAGCTATTCAAGGTTGTAAGAAAGTTTTCTATTCCAGTCGTAATGATACCATGGAAATGACCAAGTGTCTCTCAAGTATGAGAGAAGAGAAAAATTTGCTAAAGCATGACAGTAATTATTCTAAAATATATTGCAATCCAGATGCTATGTCTTGTCTCACAGAGAAAACTATTTATTCTGGAGAGGAGAACATGGATATCACCAAGAGTCACACGGTTGCAATAGATAATCAGATTTTTAAACAAGATCAATCAAATGTTCAGAAAGCAGCTGCACTACCACCTGAAAAAGAAATGATGCTCCAAAATCACATGACCACATCAGAAGATGGGAAAACAAATGTAAATTGTAACTCAGTTCCTCTTGTATCTAAGGAAAGAATACAGCAGAGCTTGTCAAATATTTTACCAATTTCATTGACTGATAGAAAGACTGAACTTTTAGCAGTTGAAGATATGGATTTGACCGAAAGTCACACAAGTAACTTAGGAAGTCAGGTTCCTCTTGCAAGTTACAGTCCAGCACCAGAGAATACCAGTGAATCTCACTCTCACAGCAAAAGCTGTTCACATAAATGTCAAAAAATGACCAAAAGTCATACCGAACCATTTCAACAACCAGACATAATATCTAAAAACAGCCTAACTGATGCCGGCAACAAAGACAAAGAGCAGATTTTGAATATTTTGTCATACCTTGATAAAGATTTTCCTCAGTCAGCTGATTGTAATCAGGACATGGCAATAAGCCATAATATAGTGTACTCTGGTGGAGTTCTTGAAAAACAAGTAGCTAATAGAAATACAGTTTCATGTGAACAATCTTTGTTTTCTACTAGAAAGCAATTCTTTTCATCAGGACAATCTTCTATGAAAATTCATAATACTACTATTAGTAGTCATACAGTGAAGTCTCTACTAGGTCAGAATTCTAAACTGCCTGAGCCACTGAGGAAAAGTTTAAGTAATCCCATACCTGACTATTGTCATGACAAGATGATTATGTGTTCCGAGGAAGAGCAAAATATGGATCTAACGAAGAACCACACTGTTGTCATTGGATTTGGTCCTTCTGAACTACAAAAACTTGGTAAAACTAATTTAGAACACACTATTAGCCAGCTAACAACAGCAAGCAGACAGACAGCTGTAAAAGTTGAAAAATGTGGTAAAAGTCCCATAGAAAGAAGTGGAATACTTATATCTAACAGTATTATGGATGTATTAAAGGATGAAAGTGTACAGAAACCTGAATTTCCTGAGGAAAAGCAAAATATTAAAATTTGGGGAAGGAAAAGTGTTGGCGGACTAAAAATTGATAAGACTATTGTATTTTCAGAAGATAAGAATGATATGGATATCACTAAGAGCTGTACAGTGGAAATAAGCCATAGACCTTTATTAGATAAACATGATTGTCATTTGGTGCCATTGGCAGGAACTTCTGAAACTATTTTATATACATGTGGGCAGGATGACATGGAAATCACTAGAAGTCACACAACTGCCTTAGGATGTGAAACTGTCTTACCAGATGAAATAACTTCTAGGCCTATGGACAAAACTGTATCGTTTGTAGATAATCATGATGAACTAGAAATGACAAAGTCCCATACTGTTTTCATTGACTACCAAGAAAAGGAAAGAACTGTGCTTCCAAACAGACCTAACTTTGAACTATCCCAAAGGAAAAGCCTAGGAGCACCAAAAGTGTTATGTACTCCTACTGAGGAGAGTGTTTTCTTGCCAGAAAATGGTGAAAGTGACGGTCTAGTAGCAAGTGACAGCCAGCTAACACCTCTGGAGGAATGGTCTAATAATAGAGGTCCTATAGAGGTTGCTGATAACATGGAAGTATCTAAATCAACCACTTGGGAAGACTTCAAAGATGTACAAAATCCTGGATTTCTGAATGAACCTCTGTCAGCCAAAAGTCAGAGAAGAAAAAGCCTTAAGCTAAAAAATGACAAGACCATTGTATTTTCAGAGAATGATAAAAATGATATGGATATTACCCAGAGTTGTATGGTGGAAATAGATAACAAAAGTGCCCTGGAGGATAAAGAGGACTTCCATTTGGTGCCTTTGGCGGGGGCTTCTAAAACTATTTTGTATTCATGTGGGCAGGATGACATGGAGATCACTAGAAGTCACACAACTACCTTAGAATGTAAAACTGTCTTGCCAAATGAAATAGCTATTAGGCCCATGGACAAAACTGTAATATTCACAGATAATCACAGTGATCTGGATGTCACCACATCCCATACTGCTTTTATTGAATGTCAAGCCACAGAGAAAATACTTGAAGAGAACCCTAATTTTGGAATAGCAAAAGGAAAAAACTTGGGTGTTTCCTTTCCTAAGGATAATAGCTATGTTCAAGAAATCGCTGAAAAACAAGCACTGGGTGTAGAAAACAAAATTGTAGACCAGGCCTATACATTGGAAAAAGCCCAAATTGAAAGCTGTCAGTTAAATAATAGAGATAGAAGAAATGTAGATTTTACAAGCAGTCATGCAACTGCTATTTGTGGATCCAGTGATAATAATTCCTGTTCTCCAAATGTTATTAACTATACTGATAATTTGGAGGGTAGTGCCATGCCCTTATGTGATAAAGATAAGGAAAAAGCCAATAATTGCCCAGTGCAGAATGATCTTGCACCAATATGTGAAAACAAGCCTAAAATGCTCAATAATGAGAAGTGGTTTGCTGAAGCCTATAAAAAAAAACTGAAGGAAAATACTCAAACAACTAACTGTAATACAGCTCTTGATTTCCACAGTAACTCAGACTTGGCTAAGCAAGTCATTCAAACTCATGTGAATGCTGGAAAAGCACCAGATCCTGCAATGACATGTAATATTCACTGTTTTCATAGAGTCAAACCAAATCTGAATGATCTGAATGGAAAAACTAAAGCTTTTCAAACTGTTCAGGTACCGCCTCCTCCAGAGCAATTACTTGAATTGGGAAATAAGGCACACAATGGTTTGAGTGTAGTACAAGCTTCAGAAATGTTTAATATTAACATAATCTTCAGCAATGCTAAAGATAGTAGAGATGAAGAAAATAAAAAGACTAGTAATGGAGCTGAAACCACCTCTCTACCATTAAAGACAGTTGTTAAAGATAAAGTGAGGAGATGTTCTTTGGGAATCTTTTTGCCTAGATTGCCAAACAAGAGAAATTGCAGTGTCACTGGTATTGATGACCTGGAACAGATTCCAGCATACACAACTGATTTAAATCACTTAGAAACTCAGCCAGTCTCTAGCAAAGATTCAGGCATTGGATCTGTTGCAGCTAAACTGAACCTAAGTCCTTCTCAATATATAAATGAGGAAAATCTTCCTATATATCCTGATGAGATCAATTCCTCAGACTCTATTAACATAGAAACTGAGGAAAAGGCTTTGACTGAGACATACCAAAAAGAGATTTCACCATATGAAAATAAAATGGAGAAAACTTTCAATAGCCAAAAAAGAACCTGGGTACAAGAAGAAGAAGAAGATACACAGAAGGAGAAAAAAATCAGAAAAAATGAGATTAAGTTTAGTGATACTGCACAAGATCAGGAGGTGAGCTCTGTCTTTAATCAAGGAATGTTCTTGAGTTTGGGGTTTTTAGTTTTTGTTTTTTTTTTTAATTGTGGGTATTCTCAAATTTTAATCTTAGTCTTGGGAGGCAGAAAATGATTGTTTCCACTTACAGGGCTGGAGAAATATTCTTTTGTAGAACCTTCAGGAATTAATTGCCTAACAGCTAGACTTCAAAGCAACTTAAAGTGACAAATAGTCACAAAAAAAATTAAAAATTGTACAAGAAGTAGTGTTAAAATTGTATGATTTTAAAAGGCAAATATTGTGACCTCTAGTGTTTTGTCAATTTGGGTTTATATAAGACTCTAGGGAGGGTATATATAGTGTGAAAAGTCATCTTCAGTGTTATATTTGGGGAGTAAAAAGCCTTTCTGTTTTGTAAACTGCATGAAATAAAGCTTGACTGAATTTTCTTGGCTGACGAGGATATGTAGAAGTTAAGATTGAGAGTCCATTTCTTTTTATTTTATTTTATTTTATTTTTGAGATGGAGTCTCTCTCTGTTGCCCAGGCTGGAGTACACTGAAATGATCGTGGCTCACTGCAGCCTCCGCCTCCCAGGTTCAAGCGATTTTCCTGCTTCAGCCTCCTAATTAGCTAGGATTACAGGCACCCACCACCATACCTGGCTAGTGTGTGTGTGTGTGTTTAGTACAGATGGGTTTCCCCATGTTGGCCAGGCTGGTCTTGAACTCCTGACCTCAAGTGATCTGCCTGCCTCAGCCTCCCAAAGTGCTGGGATTACAGGCATGAACCACTGTGCCCAGCCTTAGGGAGTCCATTTCTTTAGTGGGCAGGAGAATGCCTAGGTCATTTTGTATGAAAAGAAGCACTATTTTTTTAAGAAGACAAATTTTTTTAAGTCAAGAAGCACTATTTCGATAACTTGGGGAGAAAAAAATCTGTCACTTAGATCAAATTTTATAGGTGGAGACATAAAGATTAGGAAGTATCAGGCCGGGCGCGGTGGCTCACGCCTGTAATCCTAGCACTTTGGGGAGGCCGAGATGGGTGGATCACGAGGTCAAGAGATCGAGACCATCCTGGTCAACATGGTGAAACCCCGTCTCTACTAAAAATACAAAAAATTAGCTGGGCATGGTGGCGCGTGCCTGTAATCCCAGCTACTCAGGAGGCTGAGGCAGGAGAATTGCCTGCACCCGGGAGGCGGAGGTTGCGGTGAGCCGAGATTGTGCCATTGCACTCCAGCCTGGGTAACAAGAGCGAAACTCCGACTCAAAAAAAAAAAAAGATTAGGAAGTATCAGAGGTTCATAGAAAACAAGGCCTCAACTCTGTTCAATACATAAGTAAGCATAGAAGGCAATTTGAGTGGCTCTATGAGATAATGTCATGAGGCCGTGGTTAGTGATAAAGTTATGAGAAAGTAGTAATATAAAATTTAACAATAGCTTTTATTGAAATTTGCATTCTATTTTCTTTTTTGAGATGGAGTTTTGCTCTTTCCCAGGCTGGAGTGCAATGGTGTGATCTCAGCTTACTGGATCTTCCGCCTCCTGGGTTCAAGGGATTCTCTTGCCTTAGCCTCCCGAGTAGCTGGGATAACAGCTCTACTAAAAATACAAAAATACATCCCGAGTAGCTAGGATGAAGTCTCTACTAAAAATACAAAAAGTAGCCGGGCATGGTGGTGGGCCCATGCCTTGCTATTTTTTGTATTTTTAGTAGAGACTTGGTTTCACCATGTTGGCCAGGCTGGTTTTGAACTCCTAACCTCAAGTGGTCCGCCCACCTCAGCCACCCAAAGTTCCAGGAATATAGCAGTGAGCCACTGTGCCTGGCCTGCATTCTATTTTCAGTAAATATATAGAGTATCTGCTATGTCTTTTTTTTGTGTCTGTTTTTGTTTTTGAGACAGAATCTCTGTTACCCAGGCTGGAGTGCTGTGGTGCAGTCTTGGCTCACTGCAGCCTCTGCCTCCCGGTTGAAGCAATTTTTTTGCTTCAGCATCCTGAGTAGCTGGGACTACCGGCGCATGCTGCCTTGCCCAGCTAATTGTTGTATTTTTAGTAGATACGGGGTTTCATCATATTGGCCAGGATGGTCTTGATCTCCTGACCTCATGATCCACCCACCTCATCCTCCCAAAGTGCTGGGATTACGGGTGTGAGCCACCACGCCCAGCCGAGTATCTGCTATGTCTTAGGCACTGTTCTATGTGCTAGGAACACTTACAAAAATCTGCTCTCATGGAGCTAACATAATTATTTATTTATTTAGAGACAGAGTCTCACTCTGTCGCCCAGGCTGGAGCACAATGGTGTGATCTCGGCTCACTGTAACCTCTGCGTCCTAGAGCCAAGCAATTTTCCTGCTTCATGCTTCTGAGTAGCAGGACTACAGGTGTGTGCCACCACACCTGGCTATTTTTTTCTATTTTTAGTAGAGACAAGGTTTCACTGGGTTAGCCATCATGGTCTCGATCTCCTGGCCTCATGATCCACCTCAGCCTCCCAAAGTGCTGGGATTACAGGCGTGAGCCACCACACCTGGCTATTTGTTTTTGAGACAGAGTCTCGCTTTGTCATCCAGGCTTGAGTGCAGTAGAGTGATGATCTTGGCTCACTGCAACCTCCGTCTCCCTGGTTCAAGTGACTCTCATATCTCAGCCTCCCGATTATCTGGGAGGATGGGTGCATGCCAACACGCCCTGCTAATTTTTGTATTTTTAGTAGAGACGAGGTTTCACCACGTTCGCCAGGCTGGTCTCAAACTCCTTGCCTCAAGTGACCCACCCACCTGGGCCTCCCAGAGTTCTGCGATTACAGGCATGAGCCACCACAAGCAGCCCATAATGGCTTTTATTTATTTGTTTATTTGTTTTGTTTGTTTTGAGATCAAGTCTTGCTCTGTTGCCCAGGAGTGCAGTGGCGCGATATCAGCTCACTGTAACCTCTGCCTCCCGTGTACAACAAGTTCTCCTGCCTTAGCCTCCTGAATAGCTGGGATTACAGGCATGTGCCACAACACCTGGCTTTTGTATGTTTATTAGAGACAGAGTTCACAATGTTGGCCAGGCTGGCCTTAAACTCCTGACCTCAAGAGATCTGCCCTCCTCAGCCTCCCAAAATGCTGGGATTACAGGCCTGAGCCACTGCACCCAGCCCCCATAATAGCATTTAGATAAAAGAATATATTTTTCCAAAAAACATGTAAGAAGGTAGATGAAGATGGCATTTAAAGCTGCGAAGTCAAATGGTTAAAATGATAAAAGCAGGACCACATAACTTACTCAGCCAAAGAAGTCTTGGTCAGCTGGGTTGGAAAGTAGAAGAACCGGGAAATAAGTTTATTGTCTGGATTCTAGCCAGGGCCACCACATGCAGGTGATATTCAAGTCTGATTTTCTGCAGTATGGTAGACATGCTATTGGTGGCTAGTAGCTGAATAACTGGATATGTCAACATTTGGTAGCTTACAGGATCTGATTATAACTTAGATACATAATGAGAAATAATTTGTATACACAGTATAATCCATAAAGTTATTTTTGTCTATTTTTAATAAAATTACTTTTAAGCTGGGCGCGGTGGCTCAAGCCTGTAATCCCAGCACTTTGGGAGGCCGAGGCAGGTGGATCACAAGGTCAAGAGATCGAGACCATCCTGGTCAACATGGTGAAACCCTGTCTCTACTAAAGCTACAAAAAATTAGCTGGGCATGGTGGTGCGTGCCTGTAATCCCAGCTACTCAGGAGGCTGAGGCAGGAGAATTGCCTGAACCCAGGAGGCGGAGGTTGCGGTGAGCCGAGATCGCGCCATTGCACTCCAGCCTGGGTAACAAGAGCGAAACTCCGTCTCAAAAAAAAAAAAAAAAAAAAAAAATTACTTTTAAAGTCTAAAGGCCTAAGATGCTTGTTACTTATTCCAATTCTTTACTGAGATTATTTCACATGAATTATAGATAAATTGTATGTTAGAAGTAGTATTTCTGTTAGTGTTCATCATAAGTATACAGTGTATACTTTATTCTGATGATATTCCTTAATTGACAATTTCAGATTTTTGATCACCATACTGAAGAGCATATAGATAAAAATGCTAACAGTGTATTGATAAAAAGCCTGAGCAGGACCCCATCTAGTTGCAGCAGCTCTCTGGATTCGATCAAGGCTGATGGGACCTCCCTGGACTTTAGCAGTAAGATCTTCATGAAGGCTAAATAATACCAGCCATCTGCTTACTTGACTAATAATAAATATATCTTAGTTCAGGAAATATTTTAATGTTGTATATGCCATTTTGGGGTTATAAAAAGTTGATTAGTAAAATATTTGGTTTATTTTTAATTCTTAGTTATTTTAATGCATTGAGAAGTGACATACTACGAAGAAATAGAGTGATTTCCTTCATGGGCTTATAATTAGTGGATAAACATTGGATTTTAAAACTATGTGTACTTTGCCCTGCTACATGACTTCCTTCCCAGAAAGATCACAAAGATCACAGTGGGTGGCTTCAGGATTATAAATGATCTGAATGATAACTACAATTAAGTTCAAAGTTTAGTTTTGACTTGTTCCTCACCAGAATTTCCTTTACTTTTAGCTTACCGCAGTAGTCAAATGGAATCACAGTTTCTCAGAGATACTATTTGTGAAGAGAGCTTGAGGGAGGTATGTTAAAATTATTATTATTTTTATTTATTTACAAAGAAAAGAAGTTTAAATGTTTCATTTCTAATACAAGTAATTTTCTTGGTTTGAGTTTTCTTTTAATTATGAAATATTTTAAATCTACAGAAGACTACTTTGTTAAAGATCCAACATAGCAATTAATTAAATGGAGTAGAAGTCATGATTAAAAGGTATTTGTTTTGGCTGGGCATGGTAGTGCATGCCTGTAATCCCGGCCAGAGAATCACCTGAGCCCAAGAGTTCAAGGCTGCAGTGAGCCATGATCACACAACTGCATCCCAGGCTGGGCGATAGAGCAAGACCTTGTCCCCCCCCAAAAAAAGGAAAAAAAGGTGTATTTTTTGGGTTTTTGGATTTTTTAAAAGTCTATTGTTATTTAATAACCTTAAGAAATAATCTTAGATAAAATCTGCTGATTTATAGCCTGCAGATATCTGGATAATATTCCCATAAATATATACAAGGTACTTTAAGCTTTTAGAAACAAAAATGAGTTGGTTATATCAAAGTGAGATCATATTGAATGGTCATGCAAACTTTTTTTCTTTTCTCAGAAACTCAAAGATGGGAGAATAACAATAAGAGAGTTCTTTATACTTCTCCAGGTCCACATCTTGATACAGAAACCCCGACAGAGCAATCTTCCAGGCAATGTAAGTGCTGTTTCTTGGCAAACTAGTTATCTCAGTTAAAATATATTGCACTTTTTATTAAACTGCATCAAAGCAAACATTTATTTAAAAGCATAAAAAGAATGAAAGCAAATTTTCCTGTAGTTTTCTTATAGTAGATACATTTGTGGTTAGCATAAACAAAACCCAAAAATTTTTACATGGATTTTTTTTAATCGTGGATTTTGATAAGATAAAATTTTAATTTTTTCTTCATTCCTTACCATCTATTTTTTTAATACAGTGTCCTGATTGTA